ATCAATGAACATAAATTGGTCTTACGGGTATCACAAAAAACTCTTGGTCTCACGTGAACCCAACCCTATATATATATATATATATATATGTGTGTGTGTGTGTGTGTGTGTGTATTGTATATATATAGGTGGATTATTATGCAAACCTTGACATTTGTACAACCAATACAACTCAATCTCAACCGTCTATTTAATTTGATGAATATGTGATTTAATAAAAGTTTTGATTGTTTCATAATATAAAGTATTGATCATAATTAATGAATTCTAGTCATTTTCCATAAATATTCAAATAATAATAAATGAACATTAATCATTTCCATAAATATCTCAATTAAATAAGTTGTATTGGTTGTACAAATGTGATGGATTGTACTTGAAACATCCGTCCATTTAATTTGATGAATATGTGATTTTATAAAAGTTTTGATTGTTTCCTAATATAAAGTATTAATCTTAATTAATGAATCATATTCATCTTCCATAAATATTCAAATCATAATAAATAAACTCTCATTATTTCCATAAATATCTCAATTTATTGGGTTGCATTTGTTGTACAAATGTAATAGGTTGCATTTGAAACGAACTATCTCTCTCTCTCTCTATATATATACATACATATATATGTATGTATATATATATATATATGTGTGTGTGTGTAGTCCAACACTTATGGAAATCTATAAATTAAGTTATATATGGACACTCCTAAATATATCTGTTACGAAGGAAAATGAGTTATTGATACTTGTATAGTGTATTAAACAACTGTCGTATTTCTTTACGAAAAGAAAAGGGCACATATGCTTTTATAAGAGCTTTAAAAAATCACGTTTGTAACGATTATTCTCCTTTATAATAAAGCATCCATCAACGTCTATTATACTGAATCCATTTCCTCTATTACAAAACTTCACATCGTAAAAATTTATACCGTAAGCCTTTTCCCCCCTTAAGATCAACTTATCGTTCCACCATCAACAACTCATAAGATTCCGTTCACCACATTAAATATTATTACTATTCTAAAAACTCGTTATGTATAATTATTACAAACGTCTGACTTAATCACATCATAAATTTACACCATCAGCTCTCCATTGACCACTGAGATGCTTGTCGATCAAATCACGTTAGATAGCTATAACGACATGTTTTAATTAATATTTTAGTAGATTTAGACTTGTAACATAACTGACGACTTTTATTGACCAACGTGACGTTTGATTCTCAACACATTTCCAACCACACAACAAGCTCGTAGTCTATCCTAAAAACAATAAGAAGTAGCGTCGTACTTAAATCAAGAGAACTCGTTTTTTTTTAGATCCCGAGTTCCCAAATCGAGACTTGTACCTTGCACATTAAAATGTGTACTTAGTATGCATATATATAGCAACAAATCTAGACCCTAGAATACACAAAAGTGGATGATCCACACCCTACAAAAGAGGCATGGCAATCCATATATACAGTAAAAGAAGGTTTGGTGTTATTTATTGCACCACTTTTACAACTCTACATAAACCAGATCCACCAGTGGTCCAGTTGAACCTGTGGTGCCATTCTTTCTATTTGGAACAGAGATCTTACATGTAGGGTCTTCTTTTGGGACCATCTTGGATTTGGATCCTTCCGATTCGAATCACACGCTCGTTGACACATCCAACATCGTTTCACGAGTAACATAGATTATTCCGAGCCTCGAGCGTCGTTTACACAAACATTACAAAAAGTAGGCCTGGTATGTATATATGACATCCAATCGTTGTAATCGAGAACTTCATGGGCTTTTAAGTTTATAGGAATGACAATTTGTCCCGTTATAATAAGCTGTTAGGATGAAGTCGTGCTACGTAACAAGTTTTATTCTTAGTTGATACGACGAAGTTAAGAAGTAAATCATATTAGTCGTTTTAGGGTTTGTTCTTGAAATGTTTTCATAGAACATTAACAGGACGGTTTACTTCTTGAAGGTTGCTCAACGCTATGCGAGCCGACTAATCCTAGGGCGACCACCTTCTTTGCAGACAGTCCGAAGTCACCGCATTTGAATCTCCTTGGCCACAAGGGGATTTTTATTCCTCCTTGTATTTGAACATGTGACCTACTGATTCTTTTGACCATTGGAGCCAAACTCAAACCAATTAGGCACCACCCTTGTAGTTTACTTCTTGATATGTTTTCATAGAACACTAACAGGACGGTAACCACAAGGGTGGTGCCTGATTGGTTTGAGCTTGGCTCCAAAGGTCAAAAGTACCAGGAGGTCTCAAGTTCAAAACCAAGTTGGAATAAAAATCCCCTTTGGGCCTCGGAGGTTCAAATGCGGTGACTCCGAGCTATTTGCAAAACAGGTAGTCGCCCTGGGATTAGTCGGCTTGCATAGCAGGTTGGATATCCATGTTAATCAAAAAAAAAAAAAAAAACAGGACGGTTTACTTCTTGAAGGTTGTTGAACTAATAAGGATATAACTTGTGAGGTCGTATAACTTTACCCTAACATTTTTTTTGTAATTTCCTCGAATAAGTTTCACGCAAGTTGCTGGTTCTGTAAGCACTTCATTAATCAGTATGGTTAATAGAATCTCATAATCTTAAACTAAAACTTGATACAATGATTACTTGCCATCTACTCCTTTGGCTTAACTTGTTCTTCTTTTATTAACCTGGATATTCAACCCGCTATGCGAGCCGACTAATTCCAGGGCGACCACCTGCTTTGCACATAGCCCGAAGTCACCGCATTTGAACCTCCGTGACCACAAAGGGGATTTTTATTCCTCCTTGGATTTGAACCTGAGACCTTTTGGTACTTTTGACATATGAAGTCAAGCTCAAACCAATCAGACACCACCTTATGGTTTAGTATATTATTATTATTACTACCATAAAACAACACCAAATGGTAATGATGGATACCACATTAAACTTGTGTGGCATTATATGACAATAATGTTCACATGGTGGGAAATTATATGGTAACAACACAAAGGTCTAGTCTTCAAATTAATACCCTAAACTTTTGAGTTTGAATATTTGACTTGGGACATTTGACCATATTCAATTTTATGTATAGTACAACCATTTTGATATTATTAATAAAACAAAAAATAATTTAAATATAATTTTCTCAGGATATACAGTGATAATTCGATAGGTTATAGCTGTAAGATCATGGACTCAATAAGAGAGTTTGTCTTGTAAATTTGGTCTATGTTTAAATAATAGAACGTTCTATCAAACATTGAAGTTTCACAAACAACCACATGGTATGTACCAGTGCCATATCTGCCAGGTTCATTAGTTTCTATAAACAAAACAGAAAAACAGTATAATCTACGTCTTTTTTATATATAGAACCTAAAAGATTTAGGTTAACAAACTCGTGTATATATATATATATATAGGGATGGGTTCACATGAGCCCAAGGGTTTTTCTTGAGACTCGTAAGACCAATTTATGTTCATTAATCAACTTTATAAACTAATGATCTAATGGTCTAACGTTGCATGGTGACAATTTTGTGATTACTGAGAAGTCTCGTGGCAATTTTGTGATTATGAATGTTCAGATTGTATATCTAATCCAATGGTTGAAAATTGGTCTTACGGATCTCATTAAAAACCCTTGGTCTCACATGATCCCAAGTCTTTATATATATATATATATATGTGTGTGTGTGTGTATCTTTTCCGATTATAAATTTCTTTTTAGAACCAAAGAAAGTTATTTAGATGACGCAAAAGCATAGTTTTAAGCAATCTTGAGCTCGTATCATAATGATCGTTATAACAAAAATTAAAGTATCATTACTAGCTAAGATTGAATCTAAAAGACACTTCATTTTCGATTTACATATTTAATATTCAGTATGCTTATAACCATACTCATTATGATCAATGAATAAAATAACGATTTAGGGTTTAAAACACCTACTATGATTTGTTCATTAACATAATCAATCAATAATTATAGTTTCTTGATCATCGTTCAATAACTTTTGATTAGACTGAATTCCAATTATGAATCATAACATCAGTGGGTGTTATAACAGTTAGATTTTCAAATGATTTTATTCGTCTTCAATTTGCTAATACTACTACTTCAAAATATATAGTCTGTGATTACATAACGATGTTGGTACTTAACTAATTTTGTACACAACGCAAATTGTGATAGTATTGAATTGAAGTTTCGCATCTAAAACTGATCAATTTTCTTCATTTTCGTTAATTTACTGTATTTTTCACTCAATTTTGCTTGCTTTTGATATCGAAAAGATGATCAAACATCTATTCAGTTATCAATAGTATCATGTCGTCTTACAAAACAAAGTTGGTCAAATCATTTAATTTTGATTAAACACTATAATAAATGAGTAAAAATCATTAAAAATAAAACGTAACAACCAAACAAATACAAATTTAATCCCCCATCCCCATCAACTATCACCAAATTAGTTCAAACAACATTAATATATATATATATATATATATATATCTATATTATTCGTAATTAAGGTTTGAAAAATATGTATATATATTTAATACTAATTTTAAAATTAAAAGAAATTATTATGTAATTACCTGATTGAACATTTATGTTATTATACTTGTTATATTAATACAAATAATTATCGTTTATATGATATTAATATAACGATTTAACGGGTATAAAACCAACAAGCACGATTTGTTTGCGTTATTTTTGGTATTTGTAAAACTTATTAAATATTATTCATTATAACAAATTAGTATTTATTTATATTTAAAGGAATTAATGATGATTAATTTATAACAACAAAATATAATAAAAGATAAACACAAGGGTGATGCTTGATTGGTTTGAGCTTAACTTTAAAGATCAAAAGTGTTTAGAGATCCCAGATTCAAATCCAAGAAGAAACAAAAATCCCTTTGTGACCACAAAGATTCAAATACGATGACTCGCATAACGGGTTGGATATCCAGATTAATAAAAAATAATAATAATAAAAGAAGGTAAAGGATTTTTTGTATTGTCAACATAAACAAAATTAAAAAAAAAAAAGCAATTTATGTTCTTTTTGTTTTTATTTATTATCCTAATTCTCTCTCACTCTTCTTCTCTTTTCCCTTTTTTCTTTAATGGCACAGAGATTTTTCCACTTTTTTTCCCTCCCATTCCCCATTCTTTTTTCCTTTCTTCTATGCACACAGCTAAGCCAAACTGAGCTTTGTGTCACTCTCCAAGAAACCAATGGCATCTCTCTCTCTCTTTCTCTCTCTAGAAATTGGAACTAAGAAAGCTGAAAAGGGCTTTTGCTAAAAGTGCTTATCTTCAACCTCTTTAATCCTTTCTTTTCTTCTGCAGATGGAGCTGTTTTGTTGTGAGTATCCTCTGAGCTTGAGTAGTCCAAATCGAGAACATTAATGGGGGTTTTGCAGCTCAGCATTGATTCATAACCATCCAACACAAGCTCTTGAATCTCACTGTAACACTTTGAGAAATCATCCTGCAGAAAACAAATCATGCAAACAAATGTTGACATCAACCGTCTTTTCACGTTCTTTTGATGTGGAAATGATGAGTTTTATGAATTGGGTTTCGGTTAATTACCTCGTTTACGTACGAACAACTTGAAATTGAGTTCTTAAAGAATGGGAATTGTAATGGGTAGAGTTCATGAGAAGCACATAGGAGAGCAGAAGCTGCAACAATTGATGGCTTGAACTCTAACAGCTTTGATTCTGCATTTATGCAAACACATTTCAAGAACATCGATTAATCCAAGATAGTCTCGAAATGGGTTACGATAAAGATTCATTGAATTTGTATACCAATCTGAGCTTTGTAGATGATTTCTGTGGCTCTATCTTTAAGAACTTGATGATGATGATGATCAGCGTCATCGGAATGGAGGGATGTCGCTTTGAGCTTGAAGAAAGAAACGAAGAATCTGATGAAAGCAAAAGGAGTAATCGAGCGCATTCGCCATTGTAGAGCACCAAGTACCAGAAACTCCATCCTCTCCACCATCCGAAAATCAAACATCAATTCACCATCTTTCTGCAAATCCAGAAAATAAGTCATGGAAAAGCTTAAACCCCATAAGAAAAATTAAATGAAACCTTGGAAAAGATTAGAACGATAATCAATCAAATCACCTGAACGTCAGATAGTCCAGAATCTGCTCCTATCATCTTGAACGCTAACGAAACACAAGAAACTGCAACTAGCTTCAAGATCCATGGCTTCTCACCCTACAAAACATCTGCATTAAAAAACCAGCGACACCAAAAAATCTTATCTAACGAAAAAGTCAAACGTTTCATAAATGTGGAGATCGAAGTAATCATCACCGGAATGGAGTGGGAGGCAAGGAAACGATGGAGGTAATTGATGGCAAGGTAGGAGACGAATGGATGATGGAGTTTCTGGGAGAAACTGGAGATGAAGGAGATGATTTGTCGACGGATATCATGATCGGAGTCAAGATCTGAGTTGGACAACGGCAGGTGATCGGATTCCATGGCGAAAAGGGAGTGTTGAAGGTCTTTAGTGAATGGGTTTTCGAGGTCGAACTCCATTGATGAATGGTGGAGGAAGACGAAGAGGTTGAAAGAGAGACGAGTTCGATGACAAGCAGAAGAAAACTAGAGATTATTGTCCCATCTTAAAAGAAGGTGCAGAGAGAGACTTCAACTTCACTCCTCTCTCTTTGTTTTTATTTGTTATATTATCCCCTTTCTATAAAAATTACAAAAACCGTATTTATTCTAATTATAAATTAATAAATAATTAAATATAATTTTCCAAATATTAAATATTTCAACAAATTGTATTTATTGTTGTGTTATAATGAAATTAGTGTTCTCATTTGAAATAAATGCAATATTTAATTTAATAACAAAATTACTAAGAATGAAATATCTAAATTATTATATTTGTAATTAAAAAAGAAAAATGCTTGAGTTTTGACCAAAATATTAATAAAGGTGAATTACATTCTTGGTCCCTCGTGAATAGCTGTTTTCTGGTTTTCGTCCCTCGAAATGATAAAGTACACTTTCAAATATCGTGTTTCGGATCTGATTGACGTCTTCGAAAAAGCTACCATTACAGATGTGAGATGTCATGTGCTCCTTACATGAAGGGCATTATGGTCTTTTTACTTTTATTTATTATTTTTCTTTTAAAATAAATAAGGAAACAAAGATTTGTATAATATCTGAAAATAGAAACACTAATCTTTGTCTTCCATCTTGAAGACAAAGATTAAGAACGGTAGACGGAGATCGATGGTTTTTATTTCAACAATCATCCCTGGATTTGAAGACGAAGGTGGCGTGAAACTCCGGGAATACCCTTCTTTCATCCAGGTTTGAAGACGACGGTGCCCTTCCCGACTTCTCTTCCTCAAACGTTGATGAACTCGAAACTTAAATTCAAGTTTGCCAACATAGACGAAATCACGAAATTGAAGTACAAATTTATTTAGGATTTTGAAGTCGATATCCAAATCTGTTTAGGATTTTGAGTGTCCGTTTAATTTTTTTTGGGGTTTCCATTTTTTTATTTTATAGATTCGACTTACGATTTTTATTTTTGATTTTAGAGATTTAGTTCAGAGGTGTGATTTTTTGTTGTATCACAAATATCATTAATTAATAGATTTTTTTTTATTATTGAAAAATCCACTGTTGCTCTTAAAATATTATTTATGTTTATTACTGGATTTGTTTTAGATTTAGGATTTTAATATTGTTATTGGATTTGTGTTTAATAATGGTTGAGGATGACCGAAAGAAGGTGATGGTGGTGGTAGTGGGTGGTTGCCTGTAATGGGTATGAACGTTCTTAAGTAAAGGATTGTTTGACAGTTGCTGAATGGTTTAGTATATAATGATTAATTAGTCAAAATGATTAAAAAAAAACTATCATAATATAGTGCAAAATGAAATATAATTGTTTGATAATTGTTTACAATGAATAGGGTGTTGAATGGTTAAGACACACATGATACAAAATCATTCAGAGGATTTTAGAACCATTAAAAGACAAACTTTTTTTTTTTCTAAACAATATTTACCTCTTAACGATTTAGATGTTGCCTTTTAATGAAACTATTAAGAGGTAAACAAACAACTACTAAATGTTCTTAATTGATTGTTGAAAAAAAAGATAAGAGGAAGAAGAATGGTAAGAAGACAAATATACCCCTCGCATGAAGGGCACATGGCTGACTTACCGAGTCCAACTCTAATGGTGTTAGTGAGAAGGACTGATTTGGGTTCTGAAACACGATTTTTGAACCACCGGTGTACTTTATGAGTTCAAGGGATGAAAATCAAGAAACAAGAATTTACAAGGACCAAACATGTAATTCACTTATTTTAATAAAATATAGTTGATGTTTAGTAACAACGTGACAAATTTGGTTGTTGAAAGCATTAGAATTTATGAACTTCGGTTATTAATATTAAAAAATATAATAATATTTTCATTATTAATATTAAAAATATAATATAATTTTCGTTATTAATATCAAAAATATAATAATATTTTCATTTAATTTGCTTATTCTCAAATATTAGTTGTAATTTGTTGTCATGAAGCTCATTGTTTACTTATTGTTGGATTTATTATATAAATATTATATAGTTTTATTCAAAGAATCCAATATTAATTAACGAATTATAAATATCATTGGAAACCAAATTTATTTGTTTCATATGTATATCGTTGTGATAAATTTTCGACTGTTTTTTCTCGTATTGTTATATGCAATTTTCATAGATTTTAATTAACGAGATCGAGGAAAAAGATAGAACTTTAGATTTATATAAGAATTTGAAAATACCGTTGAACGACCAAAAATAGCTATGTGATTTTACATTAACTGTCAAAAAAAGGTGTGCGAGCGACTTTGACAGCGACTTCAGCTCATGGGGACGAAGTCATGTGAATCACATGTGATTTTGTATGTGACAGTATAAAATCAGATATGGTTCAGTCGTTTTCTTACTCTATTAAATAGGTATATAATGGGACGCTTTATTAATTACAAACCATTGAATTTTAACCAAAAAAAAATATAAACCAATTTTAGCTGTCCATCTAGTCTAATAAATATTTGATTCTATTAAGTTTTTTAATATGAAGTTTTGATCATAATGAATTAACCTTATCATCTTATATATATATATATATATATATATATATATATGTATGTGTGTGTGTATATATATATATATGCCTAATCAAATGAGAACTAATTAGTTTATGGTAACTGTGAGGTCTAATATGAGTCAATCATTTTATGATATTAATTGTATTACCTTAATTAATAGGTAAAGGACGTTTTAGCAAAATGATTAATCATAATTTAAATATTTTTTTTAATTAATAGTTATCAAATTCGGTTTCCTTAATTATCAAGAATTCGGTTTCCTTAATTATCTCAACAAAATTGTATCACAGTCGTGTATCACATTGTGGTTGTGTGTGGCCTAAAACTTAGACCACATCTATTATCAACCCATATTCAAGACGTTATCACAGTGGTATCATAATGTGTAACATAATTGGTTTTGTGTCTTACTGTTATAAATTCTTGGGTATCACATCATATATCATATTTATTTTGTGTTTTACTGTTAGAAATTCTTGGTCGGAGAGAGAGGGGGAGAAAGGAGAGAGATTTTAAAAAGACTAATTTACCCCTATACATTATCAGTAAATTTGAAAATCAATGAATAATTACCAAAATTAATATGTTTAATAATAACCATTGATTATTAATAATGTGTGGTTGAGATTGTATCTCATAGTTATCACAAACAATCGAGTTCTCCCTTGATTGGACCCTATATATATATATATATATATATCAATCATAATTAATGAATCATGATAATTGTCTATATATATTTATTGTTTTCTAATATAAGTATTAATTATGGTTTGTATAATTTGTTAGAATTAGATGGTTTATTAACGAAGCGTATTGGTGAAAGTAACTTTTAGTGAGAATGATTAGAGCACTAGACCTTTATGTACATTGATCAACCTACATCTACACGTCTTCATTTACCTCGGCATACATGCTTGTATCACCATGAATGAGACTAACAAATTCATGCATGTGAAAGGTAGTGAAGGTGTGTGAAAGTACGTGAACGTGACTCAATGTGAATATGAAGATGAAGGTAGATGGAATGTCTGCATTTTTTGTGAGCCATCAAATGAAGGTCCGCAAAAGCGAAAAACTTATCAAAGGGCTCAAAAGTGTTAATTTCTTGTTGCACTCATCAAATTCATTTGTTCCCACGTGATTCAACTCTCTATCTGTCTATCTATTTGTCTGTTTGTCTATATATACATACATATACATACAATCAAGGAGTCAGTTATAACTTTTCTTAAATTGTGATCGATTGTAACGGTTAGGGAAAAGTAGATGTGTGACACTAAGTAGTAAATACAACTCACATCAATTTCTCTATCGATTCTTTGTTGTTTCCTTGGTAATACAAAGAACAACATGGCTACTTCTTGGTTATCAGGCCAACACAGTTTAGTACGAATTGCAATAGATCCCATTTAGCATTGCTACACTTGCGATGTGGTCAAAACTTGTGAAATAATTCTTGAATATCGATTGACATAGTGGATAGAAAATGAGTTACGTATGCAAGGTGATTCATCTATGTGATTTTTATAACGTAGATGAAAGATGGAATTAGGGGTGCTCTTGGGTTGGGTTGATCGGTTGAAGACATTTGAATAACCAAACTCGATAAGTGTCATTTGAAAAATCTTAACCCAAACCAAAGAGCAACCCAACCCAACCCAAACTGTACGGGTTGGTCGGGTTGATACTTTAGTACATTAAAATGTTATCCTAACCTTTTCAAATATGTTATTTCTCTACTCATAATTTTTTTTCATCATCAACCATTTGATACAACTTATTCATACTTCTTAAAAATCTTACGTATATCACATTCAATTAATTTTCTCAATTTACATATATATGTTCACAGTTACTGAACATATATACGAATGAGTTATATAGAGATGAAGAATAGATTGAAAATATATATATATATGAAGAGGGTACGTGATAGTGTAATTGTCTAATGTACATATTAATATAAACTTAACAATCATATTAAATCCAAGAAATAAAAGGATATTGGGTTTATCGGGTTGGGTTGGATTCAGATAATAGCAACCCGATACCTATGGTTAGAAAATTTACAACTCGATTAGACATCATGTTGCTTCGGGTTGAGCTACATATCGTCTGGCACCTTCCAAATTAAAAGAGTTAATGAACCAATTGAAATAATTGTTTGATAAGGGCTTCATCATACCGAGTACATCTCCTTGGGGCACTCTCGTGTTGTTTGTCAAAAAGAAAGACGAAACAATGAGGATATGCATTGATTATCGAGAACTGAATAAACTAACAATAAAGAATAAATATCATTTGCCAAGAATAGATGATTTGTTTGGTCAGCTAGTTGGGGGAAATTATTTCTACAAGATTGATTTGCGGTCAGGATATCATCAGCTGAAAGTCAGAGATGAAGATATTGCCAAACTGCGTTCCGAATAAGATATGGAGATCATGAGTTTTTGGTCATGCCGTTTGGTCT